TTTTAAAAATTGTTGATAACTGCGAGTATTAGTTCTAAAGCTCTCCGTACCACGGTTGTCGATAGCGCCAGCAGTCTTTTAGTTCTGTCTCTGATAACCATATCCTCACAATACGTAAGAAATCGGAAAATTCCGCAGTTGTTTATTACTTCCTGGCGTTAATGTGTTTTCGTGAAATTTTTATTGAAAAACTGCAATTTTTGTAAGTTCGGTCAGCAAAATATACAACGTAATCAACAGCAAAATATGTAGTGGCATCAGTATTTGTGTTTGTTAAAGTTGTATAAGCATTTCATTAATTATAATAAGCGTTGTTAATAAAAACACCAGTTGTTGTTATCAAATTAGAAAGTGTTACCTACAAACCAATGGATAAAACCAATGCAGTATTTTGTGTAATGTGGAGCATTTCGAAGAAGTACCCCTATATGCCAAACAGCATCAAATTAGGGTTAGTATTAATTGATTGCACCCGTGCGAAGCTGGGGCGGGTCACTAGTGTAATAATAAACCGATAAATCCATTTTCTTCTGTACATATATTGTGAATCGAAATATTACAATACATTTACTTGAAGAAGTTAGTAAAACTAAGTTAACGAAACGACAGATACGGTTGCCTGAGGCATCTAGCGGCAATTCGCGTGGTGTGTACCTACTTTAAGTTTCCCCATGTCACGGTTAACTTTTTCGCAATCGGTATAATATTTCGAACGCTTAATAAACATTTACTTCAAATTCACCGACTATTTCCCTCTATCAACGACTGTTCTTATTAAAACAATTGTTACTATCTAGCAGTTTATAAACTAATAGGGTTTTGGGCCTGCTAGTTAACTAAAATTTGCCATTAGAGTTCACGCTTTTTTGCTTTAGGATACTGGAAGGCATTTTTATAATTAAATTTGACTATTAAAAGTTTGTCGTCCCCCTATATATTATCATTGACTGTTTATAAAAATGCTATATATATCATCTAATCGATTGTTTATCCACTCGATTATAATGTGCAAATATTTCCTGAACATATGTTAAGTAGTTTACTTCTGGTGATGTGTCAGCAATGATAATTGTTTTTCTGTTCAGTTTTTATGCAGTGAGCAAATTAATTTAAAATTATGGGTAAGTTGCACTTGAAATAATATTACCGCATTTATAGAATTTTGGTTGTTAAGTAAATATAAAAACCTACTGCAATTATTGAAATGCCTAGGTACATTTTCATATTTCAGTCAACGAATGATGTTTTTCTTCCCTTTATATATCTAATCAAGCAAATTAATCGACTTTAATATGTTTAAACTTCTTATTAATCGAATTGTGAATATAACAGAAACAAAAAAACAAGTTTGGCGTTATACATAGTTATGTACAGTGCGTTTACGCCTTTATATTAATACAAATAAAATATTTAGCAAAGATATTTTTGCAACCAAATCGAATATTTTAAATTTTGTTATTGTTTACCAAAATGAACACCATTTCAAAAGCAATTTCACTGCTGTGTGACTTTTTTGAAGGTAGGAAGCTTTACGTTTAACGAAATAAAAATTCTATTATTTTTTAGTAAATAGAAAGGATTTATCGTTCCCTTTTTGTATACCACAATCAGTTACACGCGCTCTTGTATTTGACTAACTTATTTTGGACAATTTCCATTTTCTATTATTTAGGTACTAGGTTTTATCCGCGACTTCGTTGGAAACAATTTCTATATGTTTATAACAAATACATTTGTTATACTCAATAAACAATTAACAAAAGTAGCTTAAATCACACCTGACTACCCTCTCTTCATGTCTGTTTTAAGGGTCGTTNATAAAAAGTTAATTTTTGTTATAAATTAATGCAAATTTTATATTTGTTAGCTGTAGCTAACTATTATTATGTTGTAATTTTATTATTAATTTTTTAAAAATTGTTGATAACTGCGAGTGTTAGTTCAAAAGCTCTCCGTACCACGGTCGTCGATTGCGCCAGCAGTCTTTTAGTTCGGTCTCTGATGACTGTGTCCTCGCATACGTAAAAGACTGGAAAATTCCGCAGTTGTTTATTATTTTCTGGCGTTAATGTGTTTTTGTGAAATTGTTTTCGAAAAATTGCGATTTTTGCGGGTTCGGTCAGCAAAAGATGTAACGAAATCAAAAGCGAAATATGTAGTGGTATCAATATTTGTGTCTGCTAAAGCCGCATAAACATTTCATTCATTATAAGAAACGTTGTTAATAAATTAACCATTTGTTGTTATCAAGTTAAAAAGTGTTACTGATATACCAATGGGTAAAACCAATGCAGTATTTTGCGTAATGTGGAGCATTTCTAAGAAGTCCCCAATAATGAATTGAAACAACTTTCGGTGAGTTTTTGTCATTTAGTTATCAGAACTTATCATTTAATTACCCTTTTAATATAAAATTAAGTAATTAGGGTTTATTTATTTAGTCATACTTAATCTTATTGTCTATTAATACATACACCTTGGTTACTTAGTTAGACAGTAGGATCAATTTCGGATATTTCTGAACCGAGTTTGAAAATTCTACCATTTTTTGAAAGCTGTATTTTACATTTTAATTTTTAATTTACTTTTCGAATACTCTCTCTCTCTCTCTGGTACTGGAGTTCTTGAACGATAACGACGAAACAATCAGAAAGCAGTATTGAATCCACAAGATTTTGGATTATCCATTTCCAAGGAATTCAGAATTTTTTGCGCTCTTTTCAGTTCAAATTTTAGAAGTCAGACAAGAATGTCTTGTAGTCTCACTTTCAGCTTTTAGTACTTTCAGTGGCCTATTTGAGCAACTTTCTTTCAATTTATATAACATTTGATAGGTGATAATAGCAAAACTTAACGGTAAAAAGGAATTTTGCATTTTGCAAAAAGTTAATAATAATAGGTATTTTAATTGAAATACAAGATGTTTTTCTTAACAAATAAGTATTTAAATGCAAAATAGAAGTATGAATTTCGCACTTTTTGCATTTTTAATGCAACTATTTGAAGTACTTAATACCTAATTCATGTTTAATACCGATTTATGTTTTCGACTCTCAATCGCCATGCTTTGTTTAACTTTTATTAGGAATTGTCGGGTCACAAGAATCAATTTCATATTTTTATAATTATTAAATTAACTAATNAGTATCAGACCCATTAGGTAGGTAGGTAGGTATAATAAAACCACTAATATTCTCTTCATAATTTTTTTATCGCTTGATAGGATTTTTTTTAGATTATTCTACGATCAGTAAATTAGTAAAACTATAATATTGCTTGAATTTCCTTCTCTCTTATGCAACACTTTGTACATACGTGTGTTAGAGTATACACAACATAAAAAATAAAATCAGTTGATGACATGACTAATAAACTAATATTTATTTTTACTGAAATTTGAAAATTGCCGCAGTTTAATAAATCGCCCATATCGACTACTATATGCCAAACAGCATCAAATTAGGGTTAGTATTAATTGATTTTATCCTACATTTTTATTTTTTAGGACTTTCAATAAAATTAATGTATACTCTTACATTAATGTAATGTTTCTGACTTTTGATAAATACAATATACCATTAGTGAATATTGATGAGTAAAAACTCGAAGTTACGCCACTGGTAGTTTTGAACTGCGCAAACAGATTGAAATGAAATCGAAGAAGAAGAAAGAAATCGTAATGGCGGATGTTTATGTCTGTGTGTGAACTCTCGGCAATAATTGTTAAAAAAAACAATGGCAATGTCAAATTTATATTCAAAAATTGCTCCAAAACCAACTAAACGTATTCAAGATACAATGACAGTATCACAAACAAATGCTTGGATGAATGGTAAGCAAAATAAAGAGAAGCTTTTCTTCTGGGCGTTCAGAAACTGCATAGCACGCAAGCGTACACTGTACAAATGTACATGTCAAAATTGCAATGTTGTGGGCGAGATATTTATTTTTTAAATATATAAACATAGCCAATATTAGGTCGCCAGAAGTAAGCAAATTTCGGAAATAGTTTTAGTGATTTTTCTAATTTCATTCGTGCTGTCCTATATCATGAGCAAAACAGTAATACTTCTAGTACGAATTCGTAAGTAACATGCTGTTGGAGATTTTATGTATTTAAATATCTACTTATATTTGAAAGACAAAATCATAAAATAAGTGTGCAATGTATAACAGTTTTATTTACTGATTAATTATTATCATGGTATATTTCCCAAAATTCTGAAGTGGGTTTTGTGAATATTTTGTCAGTATAAATAAAGGGTACACACATACCTATTAAAAGTTCTTAACAATACTTATATGTAAATGTTCTTGATCTTTGCTATAAATCATGACCTTTACTAAATGAAAAGACTAAATTAAATAGGCATTAGCGACAATCGGAATTTAGTGTAACAGTAGTCGTACATTTATAAGTGTTTTTCCCAATTGGTATGGCTTTTTTACATCAAAAAGGTAAAAATGAAAATTATTAAATTTCCTAAGTAGTTTTAGTATGATTTTATTTCCTAAGATTGTAATTTTGCAAGAAAATCAAGTGTAGTATGAAACTGAACGAAACAAAACACTGTAACAATGTGTAGAAGCCTAATACGTGTTTCGATAAGCAAGTGACCTAAGTCTGACTGAGGATAACACCTTAGGTGTCGAAACGTTTTTATGTGTAGAATTTTGGATTGCAGTGTCTCCTTTATTATAAATTTAAATTGATTGCATAAATAACTGTTGTTCGATGATAAAGTTTTATTCAGAATAGGTAATATGGTTTCATAATATTTTATTACTTTTGACACATTTAATAACTGTCATTTTGAGTTAGTATGTATTTTATAAAGGAAAAAATGGTAAAAGTTTAGCAGTATATTATTTAAATAAGTATTTAGTTGAACTGCACTGAAAAAGCCATTTTCTGTATTTGCAATTGCAATGATATTTGACAATTTTTTTGTTATTGCTGCCTTTTATGTTCATTAAAAGAGTTTTTTTTATTATAGCAGAATCTCTAAACAATGGTGCACTCAGTGTATCGCCACCACACGTCATTTCTCAACGAGAAGGTCTTCAGGTGATGCAACCGTCGAGTACACCGGGTACTCCTCCTTCAACCCCCTGTGTCTCACCAACAGCACCTACGGGGACACAGGACCCCAACTGGCAAGCTACAAAGGCTACTATACGTGAACGAAACGCTGCCATGTTCAATAACGAACTAATGGCCGATGTTAAGTTTATTGTGGGTAGTCCTGGATCTATTCAAACTATTCCTGCTCACAAATATGTGTTAGCAACGGGCAGTTCCGTATTTTATGCCATGTTTTATGGAGGTCTAGCCGAATGTAAAGAGAAAATTGAGGTTCCAGATGTGGAGCCCACTGCATTTCTCACTTTGCTCAAGTATGTAATGGTTGATTTATTTTTTTTTTGTGGAAAATGATCAAAAGAAATTGTCATATTTTAAGGTCAATTTTTCAATTATTTATGTTGATTGCAATTTCATAAGATCTGTTAAAACAAATGAAAATAAGTTGTAGACCCAAAACTTGTATATTACCTACAATATTTCTTGAACTACAGTAGGACAAAGATGTAACAATTAATTATGTGATAGAAAACAGGACTTTCTGGGTTTTAACTGAATCAATGTGAATAAGATACCTAATTACATTTCGTGTTTTGTTTCATAAGAAGTCCTCAAGACTTCTTAAATGTAGAACTCATTAATGTTAAGCTGTGAAGTGAGTAAAACCAGATAATCAACTTTACAACATTTTTAACAGTTCCTAATTTGTGTATGGAAGCAACACTTCTACCTGCTCATGTTTCTTTTTATTCTATTTAACACTTGTTTACAGAAAGGCACTATTGAAATGCTTTTTAGATGAGATATGAGATGTTATCAAATTTCTGCTTCATAATTATTTTTATTCGATAATTGCATGTTTCAAGAAAACATTTATAATAAATGCGTTGTTTTCTGTTTGCAGGTACCTTTACTGTGATGAAATTCAGTTAGAAGCGGATACAGTTTTGGCAACACTCTACGCTGCTAAAAAGTACATCGTACCACACCTGGCACGCGCTTGCGTTAACTATCTCGAAACAAGTTTAACTGCAAAAAACGCTTGCCTCTTACTTAGCCAGTCGCGCTTATTTGAAGAGCCTGAACTCATGCAACGTTGCTGGGAAGTGATAGACGCGCAGGTGAGTCTGTCCCACTCTATGTCCTCATTGGACCTCATTAACACGCACCCGTACCAGTCGTCGCCCACCCAAAAAAGGCATATGAGCTTCAGTGCCAGCCGAGGTCGTACGAACTTCGCCGAGTTTTGATCGAACTTTAACTCTCGCTTCACCCAACCTAACCAACCTGATATTATATTATTATCATTCGAAATGTCTTTTACGTTTCGATTCACATACCTATAAGGTAGTCATTTCGCGCTTCCTTGAATAATTTGGATGCTTATTAAATTTCTTGCCCAATGCCAGGTTAAATAAGTTTTGTTTTTGCAAATGTTGTAATATTTTGTTTGGAAGTCTTTAAATTACTTCCAGAAGAACAAGAATTTCAAACGTGATTACATTTGCTTATAATGCAACCGATCCAAAACTTGACTGTTGTCAGTGTCAATTATTTCATCGGTTTTTAGCTACTAATTGCATGTAAACCGTAACTTCTACTGCCGACTTCTTCCCTTTTACTCTTTCTGCTTCTCTATTTGTTTGTCTAGTCATTTTCGCACTTTTTTAAAATTATAACATATCATTACTAATTTTTGTTTAAGTAAGCTTTAATACTTTATGAAAGTAGAAAGTGAAAAAACTTAAGCACAACTGCCAGTAAAGTGAAGTATTATTGTGAAAGTGTAAGTTTTATTTAATTAAATGTACAATAATATTCAAAAGAATTAACGTAGACTAAAGACTTGGTATTAAAATTTCGTTGAAATTATTGCTCAATGTTTTTTACATTCCAGTACTAAATTATCCACTTGTGTTCAGACAAAAAATTGTAGCACTCAATTATATTTTAAGATTCTGTAGATTTCGTAGTAAAAACCAAAATAGTAATTGTAAAGAAAATTGTGTATTTGTGGTAAAAATATATGTTAAAGAAAATTTGATGCCTTTTCTTAAATACCTAATTGAAAATAAATAAAAGAGTAATTATTTTCTTTTTTTTTTAATGTCTTTTCTTTCACCTTCACTTTACTTCTCATCTAAACCTCGATCTAATTTTTCCTCGATATTTTTAATGAAGATATCTTTTTAAGACAATAAATATTAAAATAGCTGACTTTTTCACTTTGTCATTTGCAATTGTCACACACTTAAGGAGTTTTTTACTTTTAGGCAGAAATGGCCCTAAAATCGGAAGGCTTTGTGGACATTGATATGTCTACTTTAGAATCAGTTTTGGGTAGGGAAACACTGAACTGTAAAGAAATGGTACTGTTGGAAGCTGCTTTAAATTGGGCCACAGCAGAATGTAACAAGAGAGAAATAGACCCGACTCCTCTAAATAAAAGATCTGTTCTTGGAAACGCCCTGTACCTGATTAGAATTCCTACAATGACTTTAGAAGAATTTGCTAATGGTGCTGCACAAATGGGAATACTCACTCAAGAAGAGACAATAGACATTTTTTTCCACTTCACTGCCAACAACAAACCCATACTCAATTACCCCACTAAACCTCGGGCTGGCCTTAAATCTCAGGTAATAATTCTTATAAATATGGAATATGTAAATAAGTTTTCATCATTTTTGATTTACGTTCTTTAGATACTTTCAGTTAAGAACATCACTGTTAGTGAAACAATCTTGATCTAGTCATAGTGCCTGCTGCTTAATAATTTATAAATAAGATGTTTGTTCTTAAAGTAAATCATTTAAAAATTACTAGAAATCTCATTGTTATACTGTATCATACTCTATTGAACATATGTTAATTTTTACATTCAATATTTGGCAGCAAACAGAAAAAATTAGAAAGTGTCTTTTATTTTAAAGAAATTATAGTTTAATTATATGTTATTCTTTGCAGGTATGTCATCGGTTTCAATCTTGCGCATACCGATCAAACCAATGGAGGTATCGAGGTCGTTGTGATAGCATTCAATTTTCGGTAGATCGTCGTATTTTTGTTGTTGGTTTCGGTCTTTATGGCTCGTCAAACGGTGCTGCCGACTACAATGTCAAAATCGAACTTAAACGTCTTGGCTGTGCCTTGGCCGAAAACAACACGCGTTTTTTCTCAGACGGATCCAGCAATACCTTCCACGTGTATTTTGACAATCCGATCCAAATTGAACCCGAGACTTTTTATACCGCCTCCGCGATTTTAGATGGCGCCGAACTTAGTTATTTCGGTCAGGAAGGTATGAGCGAAGTCAGTGTGGGAACGGTAACGTTCCAATTCCAGTGCTCTTCGGAAAGCACGAACGGCACTGGAGTACAAGGTGGACAAATACCCGAACTCATCTTTTACGGACCTGCCCCCGATGATCAACATTAAATAAATACGCTTATAAAGAATGGTGCGACAAGGTGGTTGAATGGGGTGGGCGAAAAGAAATAAATATCGATATCGAGGAAACCGAAAAAAAAAACCGATAATGTCTATTGGCAAGAACACTTGCATGATTACTGATAATTTAAAATACATTACTCAGAANCTTGACCCCCGGAAAGCGCAAACAAAATACTTTTTAGATTTTATTCGCATTTAGTACTACATGTGTAATACTAAATTTCATAAATGTAATCGGTAGAATGAAGCAGAATCCTGAATTATTAAAACTTTAAAACATTACAAAGGTATAAGAAGAAAACTAATGTGACTAGGGACAATAAAAATATTTAATATCGGGATAGTGATCTAAGAAAAGTATAATGATTGATCAGAATTTATCATTTTATTACTTTCAGGCAAGAACACTTGCATGATTACTGATAATTTAAAATACATTACTCAGAATAAGTACACGTAAACTATTAAGTCGTGAATGTATTTAAAAAATCGAAGTGATAAAAAAAAATGCGTACTGTGCCAAAAAAGTAGAAATTGTTCCTTAATTAGAGTATCACAAATTGAATTGTATCGTACTGTTAGGCTAGGAACACATCCATTATTTGACTTAATTATTCAACTAAGGTAAATGATCTCAAATGACATTTAACCACAATATATTAATTAAAACATTAAATATAATTCGTTAAACGTTTTATTAGGATAAGAAGCAGTTATTCCAATACTCGAACAAGCATTAAATATTTAAAATTTTATCTCTCAAAAATAATAAGAACTCCAATTGCATAAGTGTTTATTACTTGCATTTGATACTTAACATTTTCAAGTAATTTTAATATTCAAAGTAGAATAGCAAGCACAGTGGATATGGAAAAAAGAACAATAAAAATTAAAAGTGCTGCAAAACTTCCATCAATAAATCATCGTGTAATACTACATTAACCCAGAAAATAAATAAAGCAAAGTTTTAATAATCGTAATTTCCTTAAAATAAGTGGTAATGTTCATTTTAATGTTTTTCCAAAAATAGTTATTTGTAGCAGTTGATTAGATGCCGTTTTATTTAACTATAGACGATTCTATCAAAATATAATTAAAATTTATAAATTCAAGGCAGTTCTTTTATGCATTTCAAAAGACAGTATTTATAATGTAAATTGCAGTAGTAAGTTATTCATTAATTCCTTGATATCGATATATGCGTTTATTACAAACTTATGTAAAATTCAGTTTTGTTTAAAATATCTAGCAGAGAATTTTATCTAAAATCGAGGAAAAGATAAAACACTTGGGTAGTAACAAAACAACGTAGATGTGATATTGTGACAGCATGATATATATTTACCAAAGCATTTTTAGGTGATTTTCTAGCACTCTGGCTGATTTTCAAATTTGAGGAAATAATGTACCTATAATGATAGCCTTGATTTGCAATAGTGGTTATTTAGTGACTTTCAACTTTAAATTAGCTTTTAATGTATTTAAATTGTATATAAGCTTTTTTCATTTCCTGTAAATAAAGTTATGACTGAAAGTGATTTTAATTTAAGATATCTTAGTCACAAACAATCCAGTTAAAAATTTGGTTCTAAAGAACTTTGAATCTTAAATGTAAGTCATGACATTTGCATGCATACAAAAATATAAAATAATTGTAATGTGATAGAAAGTGTAATACTGAATATTTATCTAGTAAGATAAACAATAATTAACTACTGAAGTTTTTTTATATCTGATTGGCACCTAATTGCATGTTAAAATAGCAAATAAATACAGTTTAGTACGTCAATTTTGCTATTAAACTTTAATTTACCAAAAAATGCTAGATACTTTAAGCAAATCTGTTTTTACAAATAAAGTAAAAACATGACTTACCAACTGATGGAACATTAATGCATAAGGCTTGTGACAAGCGTAAGTAGGTTCTTCCTAATTCATAGCAGCATATTTGTAGCACATCACTAATATCAATTAACAAATCTATCAGAAATTAAGGAAAACAAGGTAGATTTTCGAAATTGAAAAAGAAAATTACATAAAAGTACTAAAAAAGGATACGAGGCGTCCCTTCAGTGCGACACGTTAAATAAACACATGCTGCATAAACGTGTGCATGACGTCGACCTCTTGTTAAATTTCTTGTTAGTGCCATTTTATAAAAATTGCATGCTGTATCTACGCAGTGTTGATTCAATCTCAGTTGATTACACAAATTTGATATACCTACTCTTGCATATTTTAGTGTTAATTCACGCGATTCAACACCCATTCCAACATGAAAAGCTAAAATTAAACATTTTAATGTTACATGTTGTTGCTTGGATGTTGTAGATGTAGATAAGAACTTACATGCTCCAAAACTGGAGGCGCCTCCCTTTGATTCCGCGGAAACAAATTGACCGATAGCACTACTTGTTCCGTGAGCATTTTCTTCAAATTGTACTTCCGAAACAATAATACTGTCTTCCAAAACTGACCCACAATTTGTACAAACAGCATCTCCTCTTGCTGGGTCAACTTCAATATCAGAACTACCACAATTCTTACATCTTCTTGCGGATGACATTTTCGAAGAATACAAATTTTATCTAGGTTTGTTAAAACATAAATAACATAAGATTAAACGTAAAAAAGACTTTTCAAATTGACTTACTGACATATAACCTCAAAACTCAAAAGTCAACACAGCGGCCATCATGAATTAGCGGCCATCGCGATGTGTATAATGGGCTGCCTAACGATCATCCGCACATTTATAAATAATTGCATTATTTCAAAGTCAGTGGCGTGGCGTTTAGAGGACAGAGGGTGTCTTGACCCCGGAAAGCGCAAACAAAATACTTTTTAGATTTTATTCGCATTTAGTACTACATGTGTAATACTAAATTTCATAAATGTAATCGGTAAAATGAAGCAGAATCCTGAATTATTAAAACTTTAAAACATTACAAAGGTATAAGAAGAAAACTAATGTGACTAGGGACAATAAAAATATTTAAGATCGGGATAGTCATCTATTGATTTGAAGAACCGAAATGTTTTTCAATTTTTTATAAATCCTGGGTTGTATCTTCAAAATCCTCTTGCTATCCCAAATTATATATGTAAATATGTAAGATCTTAGCACACACACACACACACACACACACGCTTAATTTTATGTTTGTTCTTAAGTAAATTAACCGTTTTTGAATTGAAATGAATTATTTTGTTGTTTTGTAATTTTCAAATCATCTATCATGGAATAGGGCGCAAAATTTCCTCAATACTTACCATTGCTAGATAATTTGAAGATGAAGTATGAGTAATAATGACAACATGTTCTCAAGAAAAAATCATAACTTTGGTTTTTCGTTTATATAAAAAAAGACTGGGAAAAAATTTGGGGATTTCTTGAAAAATATTTATTTATGATTTTATATTGGAAACTTGGGGATGTAGACTTCACGATACATTGATCGCACTTTTGCTTTCTATTGTACTGATCGTGAAACTTTTCAATTTCAATCAAATATAAATGGTACTCACTATAATGTATGTATGCATCTATATAAGTGTGTGCGTTTTTTAGAAATCGTAGGAAAGCCATTTTAAATTTGCATTAATAAGCTTGCAGGATGTCTCAATGTGATATGAGATATGATGAAAATATGTTCTTCAGAAACCAAAGGAAATTATTGATTTTCAAAATATTGAACTTGTGCGAAAGGAAAAATTCTTTTCATTCAAATAATTTTATTTAGGTCAAATCACACTTAAAATTTGACTAAATTTACAGTTATTTTTACAGTTGTTCACAACTGCATACATTTTTGCTTTTTTTTGTATCATGTAGAGAAATCAAAATGATAGTTTGGCAGGTTGAATATTTAAGTGAAAATGCGTTGTTTTCTTAAAAAATTTCGTCACTAAAAATATAAAAATTCATAAATTCATATTTTTTTCTCTACTTAAACCATCCAGAATTATTGTTTCACAGATCAAAAATTGACTTGCTTCTTTTTGTGTGATTTTTAAGTATTTTTATTCCAATTAAAAATACGTATAAATATATCGTGTACCGAGATGTCTTGAAAAATTCAAATTCGCGTTTCTATTTAACCTTGCATGTTAAATTGATTGTTAGTAATAAATATCCTATTATTTAATAAAAAACGTTGTCATAATAAAATTTTTATCACTTAGTACCTTAAACAATCGTCCAGTTTATGCAGAAATATGACTTTCTATAAAGAAATTGTCATATTTTAAGGTCAATTTTTCAATTATTTATGTTGATTGCAATTTCATAAGATCTGTTAAAACAAATGAAAATAAGTTGTAGACCCAAAACTTGTATATTACCTACAATATTTCTTGAACTACAGTAGGACAAAGATGTAACAATTAATTATGTGATAGAAAACAGGACTTTCTGGGTTTTAACTGAATCAATGTGAATAAGATACCTAATTACATTTCGTGTTTTGTTTCATAAGAAGTCCTCAAGACTTCTTAAATGTAGAACTCATTAATGTTAAGCTGTGAAGTGAGTAAAACCAGATAATCAACTTTACAACATTTTTAACAGTTCCTAATTTGTGTATGGAAGCAACACTTCTACCTGCTCATGTTTCTTTTTATTCTATTTAACACTTGTTTACAGAAAGGCACTATTGAAATGCTTTTTAGATGAGATATGAGATGTTATCAAATTTCTGCTTCATAATTATTTTTATTCGATAATTGCATGTTTCAAGAAAACATTTATAATAAATGCGTTGTTTTCTGTTTGCAGGTACCTTTACTGTGATGAAATTCAGTTAGAAGCGGATACAGTTTTGGCAACACTCTACGCTGCTAAAAAGTACATCGTACCACACCTGGCACGCGCTTGCGTTAACTATCTCGAAACAAGTTTAACTGCAAAAAACGCTTGCCTCTTACTTAGCCAGTCGCGCTTATTTGAAGAGCCTGAACTCATGCAACGTTGCTGGGAAGTGATAGACGCGCAGGTGAGTCTGTCCCACTCTATGTCCTCATTGGACCTCATTAACACGCACCCGTACCAGTCGTCGCCCACCCAAAAAAGGCATATGAGCTTCAGTGCCAGCCGAGGTCGTACGAACTTCGCCGAGTTTTGATCGAACTTTAACTCTCGCTTCACCCAACCTAACCAACCNTAAAACATTTTGTGTTGATGAAAAATTCAAAATTCCTAAAAATTTTTAGATTTTATTTTCCTTCGAAGTTAAGTTTTTCCTATTAAATTGAGATAGATTATTTTGTTGTTTGGTAATTTACAAATCATCTATCATATGGATAAGACGCAAAATTTCCTTAATACCTATTATTGCTAGTTTGTTTAAATAAGAAGACTGGGAAAAACTAAGTGTAGGGATTTTTTGAAAAACATTTATTTATTATTTTATAATGAAAACTGGGAGATGTGGATTTCACGATACATTGATCGCACCCTTGTTTACTATTGTACTGATCGTGAAACTTTTCAATTTCAATCAATTATAAATGGTACTCACTATAATGTATGTATACACAAGTGCATACATTTTTGCTTTTTTTTTGTATCATGCAGAGAAATCAAAATGATAGTTTGGCAGGTTGAATATTTAAGTGAAAATGCGTTGTTTTCTTAAAAAATTTCGTCACTAAAAATATAAAAATTCATAAATTCATATTTTTTTCTCTACTTAAACCATCCAGAATTATTGTTTCACAGATCAAAAATTGACTTGCTTCTTTTTGTGTGATTTTTAAGTATTTTTATTCCAATTAAAAATACGTATAAATATATCGTGTACCGAGATGTCTTGAAAAATTCAAATTCGCATTTCTTTTTAACCCTGCAAATTGAATTGATTGTTAGTAATAAATATCCTATTATTTAATAGAAAAACGTTGTCATAATGAAATTTTTATCACTTAGTACCTTAAACAATCGTCCAGTTTATGCAGAAATATGACTTTCTATAAATGTAAATTTACGAACAAGTGCTGGCTGGTCCACAACAATATTTATCTTCAATATTATAACTTTGTAATGTCCCGTGTTCGAGATTCGTTGTCTATGAAGGAATCGTGACCCCCAGGCTTGTCCTCAAGAAAAAAAAGTTTGCATGATTATATTACAATCGATATTCTAACACTTATAAATAGCATGAAAAGTTACATCAAAATTGTATTAATTTATTAATTAGTCACTTATTGGCCAGTAACCTTCAACACCTGGTCTAAACGTAAGAATCTATAGATAGCAAAACTTTTACACAAAGGTTTCAATTGTGATGTATGCAAAAAATAAGGAAGGATATATCGTTCGACCCCTAAGTGTTGAAAAGAGCTAGTAAAGTTTCTATGAAACGTTTTTGTCTGCGGTCGTATATACGTGAAAGTCAATCTTAATATATTTGATGTAATAATATAATTAATCAAGCACGTATTTGGGAATTTATAGAAATTTAACCTAGAAAAGGGTGGAAAGTGGGTTGTACAGGAGATCATTTATTAATTACATTATATACTGGGACATTATTACCAATGTTTTATTAATATAATCATTTTAGTAAAAGTGTAAAGTAAAATT